GATGATTAGGGTTGGAGTCAATATTTTGGGTTATATGGAGTCTATGATTAGGGTTGGAATCAATATTTAGGGTTGGGGTTGATGATTATGGTTCGATTAAGTTGCAGACTGACTGTGCAGCTTGTGGGTTTGTGATCACGTCTACAGACGGCAGGTGCAGACCGGTGTGCCAGACTACCGTTGGAATGCGTGGGAATGCTCAGGAATTCACGAAACAAAGGGAGGAAACTTCCCCGAAACTCAACCTTTGTTGTGGTGCGCTATGGGGATGTGGGGGAGAGGGGAACCTCTTTTTATATGGACCATTGGGGGAGTTCACGGTAGGTACGAGTTGGCGGGCATTGTGTTGGTACAGAATTGACTATTGGCCGATGGGTTTAGCAAACGGTGATGCTTCTCGAAGGACTATATATGGCATTCACCATTCAAAGTTTAAATAATAAAGAACAATTGTATAGACGTGGTCATCGTATTTGTGGTGGCCACGATAATAGGAGAATATCGAACATGCGGTCCATGACCGCGACATAAGGATACTCAGGACCAATTTTAAGCTCTATTGCTGTCACTTACGTACAAATCCTGTCAATGCTTACAGGGAAATCTTGAAACTTGCGAACAAATTCAATCAGTGCTAAAAAAATCAGCCATTATTTATGCGAAATCCCGACAGAAACTACGCAAAATCCTGTCATCGCTTTTTGTTAAATCTTGCTTTCACATACATATACGCACAAATCCTGCCTGCCTTATATATACAAATCCTTCACTTGTATCCCTAATTGCGCATGAATCCCAGCATACCTTAAAATCCCGCAAAGTTCCTGACTCCACTTGCACACTAGTCCTACAATCATTTACACACAAATACCACCTTTACTAGCGTTCAAATAATGCATATAATGCAATAATGCATTTAATAATAATAATGCATTTTTATTATTCGTGCACAATCCCGGTGCCCTTAAATTCTCCATTCTCGTCATCAGTGTCGCAGGTACATATCCTGTGATCACTTTCGTGCGCATAATCACGTAAGCTCAAACGCAGCAGTTATATCCTGCTATCACTCAAGCAAAATTATGCTTTGAAGTACGCATAATCTGTTATCATGCGCAATGTCATCACGCGCGTACGCATAAGCACGTAATCGTAGATTGCTCACGCCGTATTTACGCAATAATTATAGTATCCTATGTCCATCGCAATGCACGAAGTTCTTTAAATTGTAAGACATTCGAAAGGAATGAAAGTCTACGTATCGTCCATCTATCGTAGCATTCAATATTATATTCTAGACACTGTCATACTTTGCTTTCGTTTAAAGGTTTACCCGGAATACCGAAGCTAAAAAAACAACTAATAATTATAACTTTCGTTGGGGTAAGACATTTGGGGTAAGACAGTTGGTGTAAGACAGTTGGGGTAAGACATTTGGGGTAAGACAGTTGGGGTAAGACAGTTGGGGTAAGGCAGTTGGGGTAAGACAGTTGGGGTAAGACAGTTGGGGTAAGGCAGTTGGGGTAAGACAGTTGGGGTAAGACAGTTGGGGTAAGACAGTTGGGGTAGGACAGTTGGGGTAAGACAGTTGGGGTAAGACAGTTGGGGTAAGACAGTTGGGGGTAAGACAGTTGGGTAAGACAGTTGGGGTAAGACAGTTGGGGTAAGATAGTTGGTAAGACAGTTGGGGTAAGACAGTTGGGTAAGACAGTTGGGTAAGACAGTTGGGGTAAGACAGTTGGGTAAGACAGTATAGTGAGCATTATCACCAATAGAACTTTAGGGTGGCATTAATTAATGAAAAACTATTTAACAATATAATTTGCTTGCATAATTTCCTCAAAAATAATACCTGATTTTCTTCAAAAATTTATTAATAAATCAATGCTGACTCCATTCATTATGAAGGAAAATACATACATTTTACATAACGTAACCCAAGTCGCGTATGAAGGGCGAGCGGATGCATGTGCACTAGAGCAGCGTAGATGCAGCAGCAGCTGCGGCAGCTGAATAGGATTATCTATGCAGCTGTTTCCGCTGAACAACTGCAGATCTGTACACGCTCTAGCAGGTGTTACACTTCTCATCTAGCCAAAAATGACGTAATAATGATAATTAATATATGAACGCGCGAGTTATTCATAGAAGTGATTTACAAGAGGAGTCTCCAACCTTGATGAGAAGTAAGGTCCTGTGGGAATTGTACGGAATATTAGTGACTTTAAAATATATTGTTATATAAATAAAAAAAAATATTGTATTATTGTATTGGTTTCGAAACTAGTGTATATTGAGCGAGGCTATAATTTTTTATAAGTTTACGTGATGGTTTCTTGTCGGTTATATTGTTTCCCAACCTATTTCCCCTTATATACGTATAGACATGATAATAATTAAGAATGATTTAATAATAATTTGGTTTATAATTGAATGCTGATAATTCACTCATTCGGTAAACGATTCATTCTGATTATTTTTTTCGTTAGAATTTCTACAAAAAACAACACTTAGAAAAATGGATGTCACTTTTTGCAAATAGTGCTACACTTTCTGCACGTATCACTGATACGCTCTTTTTCTGGGTCAAAAGGTTTCACGATGGACCAAAACAGCGATAAAATTGAATCATTATTTAGATAAGTCTCCGTAATTTATTTGAGTGCATGTTGCGCGAAAATGGCGTTGGCCGCAACAGGATAGCCAGGTGGCCACGGCCCACCGCCGCCCCACGGCCGGCATGCGGCCGGCATCTGCAGCGCGGCCGTGAGTGCAAATTCCAGACGTCCAGATGGTCAAATTCCCAGTGCCTGGGCGACAATTCCCGGTGGGAATATTCCCACCATGCGTTGCTGGGGGCCTGGAATGGAACGAGGCGGCGGCTGGACGAGCCAGCAATGCTGCATTATTCATCAGCTGGACTTGATGTATGAAATGAAATTGCATGTAAAAAAGAAGTCAGAAGGAGCAACGTAAATAAATAATAATAAAATAAATTAAGAAATAAAACATATAATAATAAAATAAATTAAGAATATGAAAGTTTCTTCGCGCTCTCATGCTGCGAATGAAATAAAATTATTTTTTCGGAACTTGACATTTATTTGCGAATTTTCTGAAGAAAAATTTAATGAAAAACTAGTTTTAAACTATTTTTTATATCGTCAAGAAATAACCGAAAACTTAAATAGCATTTTCATCAAAATTTAAAGCTCATATTTTTAAAAATTTTGCAACTTTTTTTCTAATTCTCTGAAATTATTCACCGAACGGAGAGTGATTGTCTTAGGATGAAACGACGTTGTATTTATTTTGCAATAATCTGGACAGAGAGACTCTAATTTAGTGACAATGTTGTAATATCCTAAAATTATATACGTCAAGCACAATATGCTTTACGTCTGTAGTAACTTTGAGGCAAGGAAGACTTGTGAATCGTCAACATTTAGGAATTAATCAACCAACTCTACGACTTATGAACCACTAACCGCTGTGAACCAATGTATTAACCGCGCAGGTTGTGAACCACTCACATTTATTAACCCATCCACCAACAGTCCAGCTCCTAAAAAGTTAACCTTTAAAAGTTAACCTTTATTCGAACCAATACCAGCTGTGAACCATTAAAATCAATACCGGCTGTGAACCATTAAAAACAATACCAACTGTGAAAAATAAGAACCAACCAAAGCAATGAACCAAATGAACCACCAGCACATGCAGTTGTTACTCAGTATCAGTTGTGTCGAGTTTGACAATACTTTGAATGACCATAAATTATATGATCATCGTAAGTCTTAGTAACACGATGAGAAGTCTCTCTTATAAATACCTGAATGGAGACGCTGTGTTACGATATCGACATTAGTCTTGAGTATCCGATTTAAAGTATTAAAGGTAATTTTAAATAGTCATTAGAGTCATTTAGAAGAAACGTCGAACGTTCGTTTAGTTCAAATACCGCTAACGGCTGAACACGATTGTAGGCGACTGAATACGATTGCATATGATTGTACACGATTGTCGACGACTGAACACGATCGCCGATGATTTAACACGATTGTAGCACCATGATTATACTTACCATATAATCATCAGCTAATTAAAATGCTAATCCTACCAGAATCTCGAAATTATCATAGATATGTTATCGATGTCTGAAGACACTGTGATATAATAAAGTTCAATTCTCATTATTTATCGTTAAGTGCTGTTAAGTTCCAATGATGCCAGACTTCTTGATTTTCGTCCTCGAACGTTTTTAAATTTACGTGTGACTAACAGAAGCAATGGGCTATGACATAACATGGGCGGGGCGTGAGGGCCGGGCCTGCCTATAAATACAGGCTCTAGATCAGCTGTCGTCATTACCTACGCGTCCGCAAGCGAGTGAACACGCCAGTCTAGCCGCTGTGACTCTGACAATTCAATCACTTGTGAACCGTTGTGACTCCATCAGTGACATTCTGAAACTTATTGCTAATCTTTCTTTGTCTGAAGAGCATTCTGTCAAACTTTGTAACAGTATTGAATCGTTCAGAAATATTTTCTTGCTCTATTTGAACTTGTTGGAAAATACTCCGGAAGAAAACTCTAGCAAAATTTGTCCGCAGTGAGAAAACATTTGTCGACCGTACACGCGTTTCAGTGAAGTGTTTTGTAAACACATCAGATTATTGTGCTTAATATTTGTGTTGTATAATTGATATCAAGATGCGAGTTCAGCGCAGCACCTCCCCCCTACAGAGCAGCAACCTGGCCCCGGACGCCAGCAGCAAGGTGCTCAAGAACAGCAACCGTGGCTCGGAGTGTCCTCAAATCCTCATGTATTTAGAGCGTCTACAGCGCCTGGTGCCCACATGTCCTAAGGACCGACCAGTCAATAAGCTCGAGCTCATACAGTGCGTTATTGACTACATTTACGACCTGGAACATGTGCTCTCTTCCTCTGATTCTGAAAGCGACGACAGCATGGACAGCACGTGAATGAATCTTCGTCATTCATCGCGTGTGGTGTGAATGAATCTCATTCATAATCATCGCGTAAGAAGACCTGTACAAATTAGGAAGATGTGAAGAATATTGTTGTTGTGAATGGCTGAATAAGTGTGAACTTGTGATCTTATCTCACCAGTTTATTCGATGTATAAATGTAAACAGTCGTCCGTCAGAAAAGTTATTTGTTATTTAAGAGATTTTTTATGCTTGTAGTTAGCGGCACTGGAGATTCGACGCACGGCCAAAGGCGCGATACTCAAAAGTAATTACGATGTCGTAAATACATGAAAAAAATCATGAATCAGGTTTGAAAAATTGTCTGTCAAGTGCAAACTTAAAAGTTGGAGTTACAGACGTCGTCGAACTTACGATCTCCGTAAGAATATTTGAGTATACAAACGCGAAGCTAAGGCCAGTGAACCCACCACAAGCTGCACGCCAAAGATGCCAGTCTTATTACTGAGTTGGAGTTTTGTCCCTGAAACTTCGAATTATTTACCCTGAAGCTCTTCTCGCCAAGATTATTAGTATAATTTTTGCCTGAGAAACGAGCAAGAAACGAAAAATTTACGGAAAAAATAGAGAATGATTGTGAGGAATGGAACAATAAAATTTCTGACAAGTCTAGAGAATTGAAGAAGAAACAAAGAAGACTCCCAAAAATTATTCTGCCTTGTGATCAGTATATCAGCCGGAAGCTATAAGGTGAAAAAATTTTTTGTACAACGAAATGAAGTAAATCTGCATTTAACTTCTACAGAAAGAAACTATTTGAGGTGAGTTTAATATTCGGATTTCATGTCTGGAATCTCTTATTTTATTTCAAATTTACTGACTAAATAGCTTGGTATTCGAAAAATTTGCTCGGTTTTCATAAAGAATATAGTATGTGCCTTGGATGTCACATATTAACGCCTGCCTAGGAATTATGTGAAATTTTAAACTTATTTTTTCTAACAAAGATATTCTTTTCTGTTTGCAGGAGCTGAGCGCCACCTTTCATTTGGCTCAAAGAAATTCGTTTTTCAGAAGAAAAATAAAACTCTACGGAATAAGAACGCCTGGCAACGAAAAATTCTCTTTAGACGCCGGATGTTTCCTCAAAATCTGCGGACAGTCTACACTTTTACGGATTTCCAACATCATTGTACTATCTCATCACTAAAATATTATTGTGCTATCAATATCATTGTACACTCTCGTATAGATTTGCTGACGTTCGATTTGTTATGTTATAATTTTACTCTTATATACACAAAAAACATAATGTTAAGCCTCTAATTACATAAACAATCATCGATGACGTACAAAAATGCACGTTTTGTCTCGCTTTTTCATATCCACAAAATCTGCACAACAATTAAAACTTGGGCATTACTTGAATTAATCAAAAATTATTTATTGCTCCAAATTCTTCTGATGGCGAGTTGCCGTAACAATATAATTAGACAAATTAGAAGCTGTCACAATTATTTTTAATCCTTCGTACTTAAAATAAGATTCTCATTGATGTGTTGAATTGTGATCTTATGAATGTGTTGAATTCTGATCAACGTTTTCGTGTTGACGTCATGACTCATGTTGGGAAGCAGTCTCTACACTCAGTAGAATGAGTGGGTCAAATTGTCCAAATCGTGTCACACTTTAGTGCCTTCAGCACGAGCAGAGAGCAAACGTAGCACTGATACGATATTTTGCCAGGAAAACTGGGTCAGGATGACCCAGAATGCATTATCCCAGAGGGTAAAGAATGCATCCTAATTCGGATGAAGTCTCACTCATTTGGATGAGTGTAGAGAAGTAATTAACATGAAACGAAATTGTAATACTCGATTCTTAGCAAAATAGTTAATTGGAAATTGAATTTGTAAACAATTAGTGGCAGTGATTCCACCTAGGATATAAATAATTAATACCATATTACAAATAACATTTACATTATCGTAATCAAAAATTTGCCAAGTATAATACGAGACTGACAGTTGAAATAAAGCTTCGTTTTCACTGATGGTCTTATTAAAACGTATTTTAGAAGTAAAGCTTTAGGTTTCTTCTGAAAACTTTGCTGTGGCTGCGTCCATGTGGATTTGGAAGCCAATTTGTCTTATAATTTTTCACAATAAAATAAAATCGACAAAAGAACCTGGCATAAATTAACGCTTTTTGTGGATATTTAGTTATGTCTATACCGGCATTATGTGTGCTATTTCTTTGTATTCTTGATGGAAATTTCTATGGATTTATACAAAATGTTTATTTTTACATAAAACGTCGAATAAAAAAGTGTTTTATCATCTCCTCACTTATTTATTTTAATGCCCTCAGTGTCACCGACATTTCAATATGGACAGTCCTCTTGAAATTCAGATTTTGCCGTTACATGCGAATTTTTTTTTATCTTGGACTTTTATTTAGACTGAGCCGCATACGAAAAAAAGTATAAAACTTTCATGACTTCAACGACCCGAAAAATACTCAGTAGCTCAACGATTCACAGAAAATCTACGGATACAGAAACAAACATTTCAGTAAGTATTTGTTCACGGTATAAAAACATTGGTGGAACGAAACAAAAGTACAAATGAAATATGTGGTTCTGAAATTCCAATTCAGAGATCCAGAAATGGATTAGTTAGAGGCGTCGATTGTCGCGAAATTTTTCTCGAATGGACCAAGGGTTGCGGTCTCGGATAAGTCATCGGTGTATTGCGAAGATTTTAATGATTTGTAAATTAAAATATCCATAAACAGGATAGGAAATTGCGTTATTATTATAGATATTTTTCGTTCGAGATATGATAACGTCATTAAAATTTTTTTTAGGTATAATTTTTCGAAAGGATATTCCTTCCTTAGATTAAAAATAATCTAGCGGTAAACAATCATTGTTAAAACGTCGAGTTTCGTAAAGTATAAGGTTGGTTCGTCACATTTTCGAAGAACTTTCGCTACAGTTTACAACACAAAAATTTCTAATTCAGCCATAATATTCGAACATCCTCTCCATGAGACCGATGATCTAGTAATGGCGTAGAGACGTAAGCAATTTGCAGAAAAAGTTTCGTTGCGACAAAATTTACGATCCTGAATAACGCTCGTGTCATTCCTCTACCTCAAACAAGCTTTAATCAAAGTGTTGAATCTATTCATTTAGCCTGCCGTTGACTCAGCGAGCATCTGTTTTATTTTAAATCAAGTGGAGCAAAGTCAACAAATCTTCGTTATTTTCCCGGGTCTGGGAAACGGGTAAGGAAAAAAGTGACATCTTGCACGTTCCGGCACGATGCCGGCGTCGTGCACGTGTGCGTCATCGCCGTGAAAATAAAAACAAACGAATTATTACATTCACAAAAAATTAAATGATATGAATCTGATGGCGGGTAAACGGAAGGGAATGTGTAAGGACACGTGGCTTTGGTGTGATTTTAGGTCAAAGGTAAATTGATAATGTTGCTAAAGAATATATATTTTTTATTTTAAAACAGATATGTAAATTCTAAAGTGAAGCAGTAATCCATCAAGTTTTACAGCATTAAAAATATTTGTATTGATTATAATTCTGGTCTCATTGTTTGAGGTTCAATTTTGATACATTGCAAAAACAAAACTTAAATAGCGTGAATGATTTAAAGACTTCTAGAACGAACCTTGAGTTCAACAGAAGCAAACCTCATTTCTTCAAACGAGCTTTGAAAAAGTCTTAGCTTTATCAAAGACACCTGACCATCCGTCCAGAAGACAGATGACAGAATTGAGTGACTGACGGACAGACAGGCGACAGGTTGCAGTGGCGCCTGTCGCAAAAACAGGCGACGAGCTTATCTTTTACGAGCGACAAATGCAGGCGACAGGCGTCGTCACGCCTGCCGTCCTGAGAACAATTAGCTACTGTGAGGCTCGATACCGCAACTCACGGTACAGTCGTTCATTTATATGCTAAGGATTATTATATAACTTTAATGTCAGGTACGTGTTGGTAGCGGCCTTAGGGAACTACTTCACAAGTGAGCTTTGGTAATAGAGAGCCTATAATTTTGGGCGTATTTCATAGTGAATTATTTAGAAAATTCCTCAAAATTCATCTAAAATGGATGAAATTTTATAAAAATTCACGATTTCAATGAAATTTTAATTATGGTAATGACAGAATAGACCGAGCCTTTAAAACGAATCCACTCAAGTCCTAAATTTGTTTAACTCAGTGATAACTAGATAATAATTTGGTTCAATCCTCGTTAAACAGCCTTTAGATTGGAGCAGCGAATCGTGGGTTCGAGCCTCGGTAAGCTGCAATATTGCTTGTTGTTGACTTTGGCCTTATAAGACTTTGGCACGTCCAGCGAGGTCGTATGTTGACATATTATTTGATTATGACAATTTAAATTAGAGCTGCAAATCTCATCTAACTTGAGAGCTGCTAATCTTTACTTATATAACACATACAAATATATGTCAAATAAAAGATCACGATGAGTTAAATTGTCTTACAGAGGTTTGAGAGAATATCTGTCTAAGTTAAGTTAACCTTTGAAAAGATATTATCTCATATTATTTTAAACCTAAGCGTATTCCTTGGGTTCTTTAATATTTTTATTTTTAATAAAGATATATTCCTCAAGAGCTTTCGTTGGGAAGTCATTCGGATATTGAGCTTCAATATAAATACAGATCAACTAACTACAGAATTGTTCACGCTATGTTGCTGTGCTGCACTGTCGTGTATACCAATAATATTTTACGAATGAATGTTTTTTGATATTGTTATTATTTTTTGAATTATTCTATTCATATTATATATTATTATTCTTAAGCTTGCTGAATGGAGGTTTGCTGGGTATAAAACAAAGGGCTACTGTTTTACCGCTCGCTGCCGACACATTTTGCTGCCAACAATTACTGACACTTTATCGCAAGCAATTACCTTCACATTCTTTCCAGTCATTATATAACTGACTCAATTTACCACTTTTAATTACCGACACACTTTAATAACAATCACAGACACACTTTACAATAAGAAGTTAAGGACACACTCTACTACAGACAATCTTGTATGAACTGGGGATTAAAATAACAGATTTGAATTTTGAATAAGTTATGGGTTTACCCCGTTTGAATAAGTTATGGGTTTCAATTAGATAATTAAGTAACGACTTAATTAGGTTTCATGTTCGTAAATATGGCTGAAAATATGTCTTTTAGAACAATGTTTTATGGGGTTCACTCAATCTCAATGTATTGTTACCTTGAATTATCAATGTGTTCATGATACGATAAACGTGTTCATATATAATTCCTTAAGGAGGAATTTATTTAATAAAAGTACTTCTCACTTTAGGCGCGCGGTATCCGTGGCAACAATGATATTCTCGCTCTCCTACATTGCTACTGTATAATTACACCAGATCCTGTTACCAATAAAGTGTCGGATGAGCAATGCGATTCTTGGTGCAATTATTGACACATAAAAAGTCTTATCCCAATATAAGATATTGCGCATCTCGTCTTGTCTGTGAGAATTAATGACAAGATGTTCGAGTATGAAATAGAAATGCTATAACAACTGTCTCATAAAATAAATTAAAATTTTGCTACGATTATAAATATTTTTTAAAAGAATTAAACGACTTTCACGCAGTAAAGCTAAAATTTTGTAATCGAGATACAGGCATTAATAGATTAAATAATCTGACGAACGACTGTCAAATGACATAAATAAATGTGTCCTGCGGGTAAATAGTATTGCAGGTTACTGACGCAGTATTGCAGGATACTGACTCAGTATTGCAGGATACTGACGCAGTATTGCAGGATACTGACGCAGTATTGCAGGATACTGACTGAGTATTGCAGGATACTGACGCAGTATTGTAGGATACTGACGCAACCACACCGTGTGTCGCGTCGTGTAGAAGTAACATAACAAAACCCTGCCTTGAACTTCTGTCCCTCGCCATCCATTGAAATGTTACGTTAGTTCAATAATGGCCATAAATTATATATTTTAAAGCACGCTATATTTTCTATATTGTGATAGTATATTCATGATTTTTTCATGTACTTTGCAAAACCCCACCACGAGACATCGCTCCCTCGCTATCCATTAAAGCTCAATCAGAAGCAACGCTGGTCAGAGCTCATCGTCCATATGGAGCACCGTCATGTCGTCCATTTGATGAGTCCCCTGCCATATGGAGAGGACTATATAGCTATATATGGGGGACAAATTATAGCCATGGCTATATATATTCCCCCGCCACATAGTGGGGATATATATAGCCATACAATCCCCCGCCACATGGAGGGGATATATATATAGCTATACAATCCCCCGCCACATGGAGGGGATATATATATATAGCCATACCATCCCCCGCCACATGGAGGGGATATATATAGCCATACAATCCCCCGCCACATGGAGGGGATATATATAGCCATACAATCCCCCGCCACATGGAGGGGATATATATAGCCATACAATCCCCCGCCACATGGAGGGGATATATATAGCCATACAATCCCCCGCCACATGGAGGGGATATATATAGCCATACAATCCCCCGCCACATGGAGGGGATATATATAGCCATACAATCCCCCGCCACATGGAGGGGATATATA